GTTAAAACCTAAAAATAATATAAAAAAAAAACAGAAACAGAAGTTAAACTGTCTTTTAATTAAAACCACAGTGGGCTCAAGAAATGTACAGCATGAAAATATACATTTAATGTCTTCATACAAATAATGCAGGTTATAAAATTTTATCTGAGGAACCAAAACAAACTTCAATATACAGGTTTTATATTTATAGGGAGAGAAAACACGTTGGACATTGCTTTGGTCTATTCACAGTGGTTATGTTTTTGTGTGTATTTGACTTTTTTTTAAGACAAAACCTTCAGAAGAWAACGAGTGACGAATAAACTGATTATTTACAGAAAGTTTGATTTAAACATGTCATTATCTGTCCTATGGGGATCTAAAACAAGAGTTTATGTACCGAACAGTGACAACGAACAGTGTGACGTCACTGTCTTTCAGTGCAAAGAGCTTTGGACCCAACGGGGTGCAGTGAGAGAACTTTACGGTTTGTTCATGATGCTGTCTACGAGAGTTGTGAGAGCATTAACGCAGTTCTGTCCACGTCACCCTGAGCACAGACACAGACGCCCAACTCTGATGTGCTTCCTCTCAGGAGGACACCGTGAACGTGGCGCTGACACGTTCACTGTAAGCTGACAGCAGCTCTGTCCAAACGCAMCGTAGCAGTGAGGATGTGGGAGTGTAGCGCTGTGAAGCCAGCAGGGACGGTGGAGTCATYACCATCACTGGACGATGGTGAAAGGTTGAAGTTACTCAAACCAACGTCTGAAAGTGTGAAAAACCACAGCGACTCTGATGTCTCGTCAGTGCAAACACAAACGTTAATTAAAAGAGCAGAAAACTGATGGCATTTAAAGGTGACATGGCTTTTAGGCGCGACTGTAGTCACAGTTAAAGCGTGATTGATGCAACGTTTAAACACATTAGCTTATTAAGTCAAGACTTTTTTTTTCATTTAGCAGACTGTAGTGCAAATACAAACTGAGAATTAAATTTCTGTCGCGGCGATTTCATCAAAGTTGATCTCGTTGCCGCTGCCCTCATCGTCCTCTCTGCTCTCCAGTTCCAAACTGAGCTCCTGCAGGAGCTGCTCCAGCTCTCGGTTCTTGCGGTACATCTGCACGTAGTTCTCCTGCAGCTGCTTCTGGTAGCGGATGACTTTGTCCTTCTCCTCCTGCCAGATCTTGCGCTCTTCTTGGAAACTCCCCTCCTGCTGTTCGACCCTCTTGCGCTCGAAGACGAGCTCGGAGTTCAACCTGTCCATCTGCACCTGCATGTTCTGCAGGGCGTCTGCGCTGCTCTGCCGCTGGYCCTTGGCCTCGTCGCTCTCGTAGGCGAGCAGGTGCTCCTCGGCTTGCTGGAACACCTGGCACTGTCTGTTTCCAGCCCCCTGATTGGCTACGGTGTCTCGGAGAGTGGCCAGCTCGCCCTCGAGGCGCCCCACCTTCTCTCTGAGCAGTTCTGCTTCGCTCTTCCGGCGCTGGAGCTCGTTCTCACACACCTCCAGCTCCATGGTGCGAGTTCGGTTCGTGCCGTGGGCCTCCTGCAGCAGGACCTGGGTGTTGGTCAGCTCGCCGCGGGTGTCCCTGAGCTGACCCCGCAGGGAGACGATCTCTCCTACGCGCTGAGCTAACTCGCTCTGCACCTCCTTCATCTGCTGCTTCAGCAGAGAGATTTCACCCGACTTCTGACAAACCTGAGAAGAGAATYAGTCAGAACACAAGTTCAGTACAGTCTTTAGTGAAAAGACCCATCAAGAATAAAAAACTGTGGATAAATAGAATCATCACTGTCAGAAAGACATGGATATAAAAACCCAAACGACAGTAATTATACTGCCTTTTGAACAGAGATGTGGGCCCAAATTCTACTTTTCTACATCCCATTTCTAAGAAACAAAATGCCCAAAAGACTAAAGAAGAATCCTCTGCTCACCTCCCATTTAGTCTCCTCCAGTCGAGGCCCCAACTGGATCTTCTCGTGTTCGTAGGAGGTGCAGCGCTCCTCCAGCTGCTCCCTCTCCTTCAGAAGCTGAGCAAAATCCTCCTGCAGCTTCTTCTTCTCCTGCTGGAGCTGGTAAACCTGAAATCACATAATAACACAATTAACAGTCTGCTCTTTTAAAATTTCATCTTTCTCAGAAGATTAACTTTGCCAGTTTATTTTTGATTGAAATGGATCTCTTTCTTAAAAGGGGCAATATTATGTGTTTCTCAGGCATATATTTAAATTCTATACCATAATAAAGTAACTATGTCACATTCAGTTGTTATTAAAATGCTGTTTATGTTTAAATACAAAATAAACTTGACTTCTCATCATATCTTTTTCTAAACGCCTTGAAATTGGTCTCAGTCTCTTTAAGAACTTTCTTCCGCTTCTGTCCCGCCCATTTCAGCACGGGGCTGGGTGGGCGTGTGCTCTGTGATGAGGAAGCTCTGTTCAGAGACACAGTCCAGAGGACGAGCTGATCCCAACCAGTCGTTTTTGCTCCCCTGCCTGCTGCCTCAGGATTTCTCAATCATGCATGAATGAGTCAAAGCAAGACTCTGGTCATGTTTTTGATGAGAGGATAACATTATAACATGATATAAAACTCAGAAAAGTTTATTTTACATGATATTGCCCCTTTAATTGCTCTCAGACTGGTTTGTGTCAGAAGTTCTGACCTGCAGCTGAAGCACCTGCTGAGCACGCTGGGCCTTCTGAGAAGCTGCCTGCATCCTCGTCGCACAGCTCTGCCTCAGCTCCTCCAGCTCCAACTCAAAACGCTTCTGCTTCTCTTCATAAACCTGCGAGACATCAAAGAGAAGCACAGTTTAAAAAATGATAATAAAATACAACAAAGTGGGGCAGTGGATATTCTTTAAACTTGGAAAACAAAACTAAGGACCGGAGTTTGGACTTCTACAAACCTGACAAATTGCAGCTTCATTCTCATCCAGGTTGTCTCTGAGCTGCTGCAGCTCCAGCTCTCTCTCCCTCAGTTTGTCCTCCAGGTCTCTCACCACCACTTCATAACCCTCCATGGGACCAGGAGACCTCCCACCAGACCCGCTGTCGGAGAGAGGCTGTCCCCGGCCACTTATTGACCCAGATCCCGTGCTCTTGCTGGAGGACGAGCGCCCGCTGTCCGAGTTAGTCTGTCCATGTGCGCCGACGGGCGGGACGCCCTTCATGGGCCCCAGGTGACCCACGGGGGCGTCCGACGGCAGACCGTAGCCGGCACTGTTGCAAGGCGGCAGGCTGGAGAGGGAGTTGCGGCCCGAGTCGGACAGCGAGCAGGACTGGCTGCTACCGTTGCTGATGTTACGCCCTCCACCGTAGGAGCTGCGTTTCTCAGAGCAGGACGGCGACGCCTCTCTGTGGGCGGGGCTGAGCAGGTTCAGGTTGTTTTGGTTTTCTGATGCGTTGGCACAGTGGCGAGGGGAGAGATACTGCATGGAGGAGCGGCTCTTGGGGATAACGGGTTTGAAGGCAGTGGGCCGCAGGACCGTTTTCTCCATGTTCTAGTTCAGGAATACAAGAAGAAATAAAAAAAGATAAAACATTGCTTCATTTAGTGTAACAATTTCCAAATTTACTGATGCACCATCACTTATCAGGTTTTTATTTTGTCCCCTTCTAAGGTCCAAAGCATCATCTAGATCAGGAGTGTCAAACTCATTTTCACATTGAGCACCACTAACGCTAACTGAGCTCTACGTGGTATTTTGTGTATATAAATAGCATTTTATAAACACAGAAAAGTAGTGACTAAAATGTGAAATAAATAACACAGAAATACTATTAAAATTAAGTTTTCCTCACTGTTAAGTAGCTGCTGTCACTGAAGAGGCGTTCCAGTTTGAATTTATGGCTTATAAGTGGGAAATTCCCTCTTCCCAGTACAACTGGGCTGCAGTAAAAGTAGCCAATTAAAAAAATCAGCAAAATATAGATTAGACTTTGCTGGCTACTTTTGAACTCTGTGCATCTCCACCTAGTGGTAGGATGCTGTCATTTTGTGGGTAAAATGATCAACCTGCATTATGGGAGATGTAGTTTATAATCAATACTGGCTTTAAAGCAGCCTTTTTTGAGACATTAATACAGGGATATTCAACTAAATTGCTCAGGGGGCCACAATTACCCAAAGCCAAGAGCTCTGGGCCTCTTTAAAGTTCTTTATTTTCTTGCATTGCACTTTTTTTTCATTGGCAGGCCAGACGGAAGTCACCTGTGGGTCTCGAGTTTGACACGTGATCTAAAACAGTGCTTCCCAACCCTGGTCCTCAAGGATCCCTATTCAGCAGGTCTTCAGAAGATTGTTAATCACGCATTCATTCAAACAGGTGTGTCACATCAGGGAAACATCTAAAAATCACTGCTTTAAATGTTGACCAACACCTCAAGAGCTTCTCTGAGCTTGATGAGACATTTTCAAAATACAATATTGACTCAGTTTTATGTTTTTTAGAATTGCCTCTAGAAGCCATTGATTCTTTGCCATTTATTTGTAAATAATAAATCAGATAACATGTATTAAAGTGGTGATTCTCAACCCTAGTCCTCAAGGACTCCTTTCCTGCTTGTTTAGATGTTTCCCTGATTTGACACACCTGGTTTGAATGAATGAGTGATTAAAAATCTTCTGAAGACCTGCTGAATAGTAGGGAAACAAGTAAAACATGCTGGATAGGGGTACTTGAGGACCAGGGTTGGGAACCACTGATCTAAAACATGAAAACCGTCAGATGCCAAATTACAATCAACACAAACTGTTCAGTCCATCATCCAATACAATTACCAGAAACCTTTCAGTCAGAATGTACTTCTTTATGTTACCATTGGTATAATCCATGAAGACTCACCTTTTCAAGTTTTCCTGACACTGGGATCAATCTTGGAGGAGGTCCCCCCAAATTCCCATTTAACCCTAATCCTTCTTTAGCATCATCCACATCACTTTCCGGGCTGACGGGAATAAAGTGATTATCATTCCAGTCACCAACGTAGTCCTCATTTATATAAGTATAGCTCCCGTTCCCGCTGTCCTTCTCCAGGCCTCTGTTGGACCCAAAGGAGCTCTGTTTCTTCAACGGTGGGACATTCTGCAGCAGTAGGTCCTGGGGTGACTCGGTGCCCAGGCAAGAAGTTCCAGGCCCGGGCTGTCGGACTCTGGTCCCCAGTTCGACGCCGGAGCGGTGATCCAGGTAGGGGCCGGGGCGAGTGGCGACGAGGCTGCCAACGGAACCCATCGGGTCCAAGGTCAGGGTTGGAGGGTTGACGGGGTGTGAAGGGCCAGAGGGGTGTCGTCTGCGAGCTCCACCACTGTGGCTGGGGGTGTGGGGCTCAGCGGACATGGGCAGAGCCTGAACCAGGGCCATGGTGGCAGCTTGCAGGGGTCACTCGCACTGAGAGAAAAAAACAGGATGAGATTTGCACAAATTATCAAAAAGACCATCGATAATTAAATTTCAAGAGTTATAATGGGAAGAATTTTAATTTTAGTCAACCCCATTCAAAATGGCTGCCATAGCTTATCAAACACAAAATTGGGTTTAACATAGTCAATGTTACAAATATTAAGCTAAAATTCAATGTGGTACCTAAGAGTCAAACCCAAAACAACTCTGAGCGCCAAATGATCGTGCATTAGATCCAGCCCTGGTGTTGGCAAATCTGGGATCAGACTTTGCTAACAGACTGCCTCTAAAGTTACAAACCTTTAGCGTTTTGCTGTTAGCATTTGAACGGCTGACACAAATGCCTGTTTTCTTCACATTTCCTAATCTTATCTTGGAAATAAACGAGTCAAATGGCATATTTTTCTTGACGAGTACAAACAAATCTTTCATATATATGCTTGAAAGGAARGTTTATCACAGAGGCTAAACAAATGAAGTTGCAGTAGACTGAATCATACAAAAAAAAAAAAAGAAATCCCACAAGACCCCAAGCAGCCCACACAGAACCAGGACGGGACATTCACTAAATCCAGCCAAGCAGCACAAATAGGACTTCAGCCACAGGGCTCTCGAGGCAAGAAAGAGGTCTCTAGATTCGAGGTGTTAAACTTTTAACAACATGTTGGCATTTTCCACAACGGTAACAAAGGCTGTTGTCTCCATACATCTAGATCGGCCTCAAAAGCAACTGAAAGCTCACAGCTGTGGATAATGCCTCAAAGGGACAACACAGAGATGAAGAGACAGGTTCAACCTGCTGAGGTACTTTGAAGTCAAAATTCCTGAGTAACTATGTATGCATGAAGTAGTAATATGGAGGAAAAGTAACACACACACACACACACACACACACACACACACACACACACCTCCACTTAGTGCTGGGCGGTATACCGTTTTGTACCGAATACCGGTTTTTATTTTTGTTATGATATGAATTTTTTGWATACCGGACATTCCGGTTTAAATAGCGGAACGTTTTGTCGCGGCCGCCAGTGAACTGTTGTTTCCCGGGGGACATTTTTCCTTGCTGCACCGCTATATGCGTTAGCATGCTAATGTTTGGAGCAGCTAGTTGCAGCCGCGGGTGGTGATTCCGCTGCTTATATTGACTGACGCTTAAAAACACATCCCGTTTTCTCCGTCGCTGAATGTAGTAAACACCTCTTCAGTGACGTGCACAGTTAGATTTAACACGGTTAGTAAATATGGAGACGTTATGCTGATGGAAACTTAACGTGCTTCTATTGTGAAAAGCCTGTGGGAAGTAGTTCGTAGTGGAGTTGGAATTGACTGGTGTGCAAGGTGAGTCGTGCTGATAAGTTTTAATAAATAACATAAAACAATAAACCCGATCATAATCTTTTCTTAACCCTCCTCCTTCARGACTGGACCAAAAATGCATGACTACTGTCTCCAACCACCAGTCAGAGAAGAACAGACACGGAGGAGGGAAACAGCGACACAGACAGAGGTACAGTAAAAGAAAAAAGTCAATAAGCAGGCATACATGTCAACCTCTTCGGACGTTTACCTGTATAAAAAGCCTCAAAAATTCGTACAACTCGCGGGGGGGGGGGTGCTGTGGACATGAAAGCGCCCACTGAGCAGCAAGACGAGAGGAGAGCGGAAAAAGTTCAAAACTTATTTCTAGCGGCAGAACAGGTTAAAAGATGGCTGTCTTATGATGTTTGTTTATTTTACCATCCTACAGGCTCTGACATGTTAGATGAATTTGAAAATCAGGTTTTGAAAAAACCCGTGAGACTTGAAAAAAATCTGTGAGATTGCTCAATACGCCCGTATACCTGCAAAATGACGTAAAATCCTTATAAATTACAATCTGTACAAGTTGACATGTATGAGCAGGGTTTGTACATTTTATTATCAGCTGAGCTGTGATAAAAAGAAAAATACCGTCAAATACCGTGAAACTGGTGAAAATGTTGAAAATACCGTGATATAAAATTTTGATCATATCGCCCAGCCCTACCTCCACTCTGACAGGACCAGCGGTAAACACTTGACATTACAATACCAGAAACTGATATCAAGGGTTTGTCTCCTGGAGGCTGAATTCTTCTGTGAAGAGAACAATGGGCAGCAGGACGTGTTAAAATGAGGTCATGGTAAACATAAAACAACAGCTCAGCTTGTTACGCTCTAAAAACATCAACACAGTGAGTCAGAATATCAGGATATCCGACACACGGGTGTGACTAGTTTCAGGTTTAGCAATGCATAAATAAACGTTTATTCTTGTTGCAGCATTTCCTGACCCTCCCAACTTGATGTAAATAAGGACTCATCATGGCGAGAGAAGAAATGGGTTTCAGCGTTGTGGCTGTTCTGGTCAAACTTATAAATGATGTTAGCGCTCAGAGTTTGTGTTGTTAAGGACTTTCAGTTACTTAAGCTCAATATCTATAAAGCTGACTGAGTTGTAGCCATGCATGAGCAAGTGACTGTCAATTAGCTGTAGCGGCCATCTTGAATTAGGTGTACTCTCTAAATGTTTAAACGTCTAAACCAGGGCTATTCAACTGGTGGCRCGTAAGCTACATCTGGCCCGCTAGTGACCAAAGTTCGGCCTACCAATTCGTTCACTCATCTCCTAAGCACAAACCCACGGTTTTCTACTTTAATTACTTTAAGTTCTTCTAGTTAGACATGTAGGGTATTTACAGAAATGTCAGCAACTGGGCTAGAAGCTGGTAAAAACATTTCTCTGAACACTCAAGACAGTTAAAATTTACAAGCAGTTGAAGACAAAACTATGAAAGTGAAAATAAAATTAGTTTAAAAATTTGGCAGGACAGAGATGCCAAAATAATATTTATGTTAAACAGGAGGCTTAATATGTTCTTTTTGTTTTTGATATTGTTTAATTATCACTACTTTTATAGGGTTCTGTATGTTGTATTCATGATTAAATGCCGCAAAATAAAATATTTCAAAAGGTAACAGGTCTTTGTAATACTTAGTTTATTTACATAGTAACTTTAATTGCTGGATGTTCGGCCTTTCAGCTGTTGGACTGAACTGTGGCCCCCGGAGCAATTTAGTTGAARAGCCCTGATCTAAACTATTTTTGAAAAGTTTCTAAAAGTTTAAATAAAATCTACTCTGGTTAATGGAATGCTGGTCAGGAACATTTTCTAGAAGCCGAGTAAACAGAGTAATTTACCAACCTGTTAAGTTTACWGTCAGCCTCTGAAGGTTTATGCCAACTTATGAAGATTTGTATGAATAAATTACTCGTACAGATTATATATTTGATCTAATCGTTAMRATTGTAGCATGTATACATCCAAAAAGATGCTTCAGTTGATGTTTGAAATTCCAACTTCAGTGTAGAAATCTTCAAAGTCTGACCAAATTTTTTTACAAGTCGTCTAAAACGTTGTAGTGGGACAGGGCCTTAAGGCTGGTAATCAMCATCCTTTAAACTTAGCTGACATCTATTTAAACCTTGTTTACACGTCAACAATCTCCTGGAAATTTAATTGATTTTCTGATTGTGAAAACCATCACACGGTAATGCCGTTTAGATGAGACCACAAAAAATATTTGGATAAATTGAGCACAATAAGTGAATAAMCTCTAATCCACAAGGAAACTATGCAGGGACAATTATGAGCAAAGAACAAGAGGCTCAAACTGTTGTTTCGAGCCTCTGTCAGGTTCGTGCTGGTTTCCCTTTTCTTGTCATGGTAACYAGGGCCTCAAATCTTAAAAGTGAGAAGAGGGGGGTCAGAGGGTCAACAGGGAGTCCAGGGTCCCCCCTTAGCATCTTAAAGACTTCAATTACTTTATAGCTCTGACAGTCTGTCATGTTCTGACTAATGGAAAATAAATGGACGATAACTGACAACACATTAATGGACGGATGTTACAAATCGATGCAGAGCGGTGAGCTGACATAATGTGCAGATAAATGTRAATAAAAAGTCAGCCAACTCATACTCGACTAAAAAAATTACGATACACATCACATTATCAARGAAACACACAATATATCAACCATAAAGTCTGCAGAATCAGCTGATTCAGACTGTTTTGGCTTGGGAAAGACTGAGGGTTTTAATGTCCTTCAGTTGGTCTGTGACTCCTCCAGCTGGAGGAATGTTTGGTTCAGCTTAAAACCAAAGACCAAACAGCTGTTTTTTTCCTGATATCTTATCCTTTACAAGCCTTCATCTGAACGAGCGTGCTTCCCCGACTAACCAGAACAACGTGAGGAGGAGTAACAAGATCCTTGACAGAGAGAAGCTGACTGAACTCAGATGTTCAACATCCACTCCTGAACCGGAGCCAGCTCAGTAAATCAGAGTATTGTCTGGCTTTTGTCCCCAGAAAACAACACAGAATCAAGTAAAAACACGGTTCAAAAATACTCCTCATATCAAGTAATGTACTGGAAGCATGAAAAAATAAATGTCAGCTCTCATGTGAGGCTTCACCTTGGAGCAGAACGTCCTCTGACTCAAAGAACGGCTCAGTTTTCTGCAGGGAGCGTCTGCATGAGGGACCAAACAAATCCCCTCCTCCACACTCTGTGTAAAAACTTCTGAATCCCACTGTGCCACCCCCTCACCAGCACCTCCTTATTCTTGACCCTCTCTTTGGAAACTGGAACACATTTGAAAAGTGTGACAAAGCTATTTTGGTTCAGAAGTTAACCTACCTTTCTCCAGCCACACACCTCACAGACCTGACGAAAACTAAAGCCACCGAGGTAAATGTAAACAACCCTTCTGCCTCTGCTAATTACCTGCTGACAAGGTTTAAAAAATGTGAAGAATTCAGAACTCAAAGCTTTTTTAGTGACCATTTTTTAAAATCTCTTTCAGGAATCTACAGCAGCAGATATTTGTTCCACGATAATAAAAAAAAAAACGTTGTGACTGAAGCCAGAAAGCTAGAGTTTGAGAAGCTCCAAAACAACTTTGGAGCTTCTCAACATGAGTTTGAGTAAATCCCTGTTAATTTTTTTTTGTGTGCTTCCTTCGTGAAGCTCCTGCCATGGAACTCATTATGATTCAAAATGCCATCAGAACGTGACAGCTTAAATGGTTTGAGGTGGCTCCAWCCATCTGATCAACCCGGAGTTGCATTTTTTTTCCTGCATCCACATCCTTGGAGGATGGCTACAGTCCGATGAACCTTACGTCTTTTATTAAAATGGTCACCTCTGGAACATGAAGCTTCTTGGTGATAAGTTTTCTTTAAACAGTTRGACGAAAATCTTGAAGGCACCTGTGATACCAATAAATATGTCATTCCCATGTTAACATGTCTGTTTGCTGAGCTGTAAGGTTACCAACACTAACCCATCACATCGAACCGAGGATTAAGTCCCACTGTGGTTTGTGAAGAAATAGGCAGCTATAGTCCATTAGTTAAAACATTTACAACAATTGCATTTTGTCAAAACATAATAAATACCTTTATTAATGGATCTTTTGCATAAACTAAAGAATTTTTGAAGCACTTTGAGCAATAACTACAAAAAAATCAGAAAAGCCTTAAATTGTAGTCATTTTCCCTAAGAGCTAGTAAAGCTTCTTTTCTTTCCTGCTGGGAAATCTCAATATCCAAAAATTGTTTGAGGTTTCCTCTTTAAAATGACAAATAAATAAATAAACAAATCCTCAGGAGTAACCTAAAAACAGGATTCAGACCAAATATTAATTTCCTAATCAGGAAGACAAATCAAGGCATATCTCAGGAACCAATCATGATATCAGGATAATCCAGGGATCAAAATGTAGCTTAAAATGCGGGAATCTGAAAATGTACACATCATTTTTACCAAATTTGACTTAATACTCAGTTTGATGTGATCACATTTGTGTGTATATTTTTAGATAAAATAGCCGCTTCACCAACTGAAGTATACAAAGTAACTTTACTTGGGCATTCCCCTCCTGAGCGCCTAAGGGTTTGTTTAAATGATGAACTGAACTCTGTCAATGATTACACAGCTCTGACAGGAAACAGAAAAACACACAGGCACACTTGGATAAATGACCAAACAAGTAGGTTAGGATTTATCTTTATGTTTTAATGAGAACTACCTGTCAAAGAACAGTTTTTCGTTCAGTCAGTGGCTGTTATTTTTAAAGAGATGATGAATCTACTACTGTGTAATCTACTGGCTTGTATGTAAAACAAGAAAAAAAACATGGTTTAGGAGTTAAAATTAAACTTTAAATGCTAATTATAAAGTAATCAATTAACTAATTACCAAAATGGTCTCTTTCTATGAGTTTGTCTTGTTTAATATATATATATTAGAATAATTCACGTCAGCATGAGTCAAAGAACGAATCGAACATCACGTCTCCTTTACTGACTAAATAATAAAATAACTTTTCAGTCTTATTTTGAGTTTCTTATCCCACTTTGTTTCCTGCATGGCTGCTTTGGAGTCCAACCAGTTCCACCATCACATCAAACCTTACGCCTCGTTCACAACTCCCCCCACTAAACTTCACTAAATCTCCCTTCAATAAAAAAAAAGCTCATTCTGAATCCAAATGCCACCAATGTGAATGAAAGCACAGTCCCCTCCCCTTCCTCCTCCTCGGAGCACAGCCCAGATACACCTCCTCTTTCCCTGCTTCACTCTGCTGCCATTTCCTTTAATCAAAAGAGGGAAAAAAACAAAAAAACAAACAAAAAACTTCTGCAGAGCCTTCAGCTGCTTTTGTTAGGTTGTAGAAAGAAGCAGGAGGTGGCAAACAGAAAGCTCTGAAGGATCATTCTGGTTCAGCTGTCCACTTTAAACAGGATAAACTTAGAAAATAACAGATTTTCTCCTTTATAATTTGAGTTATCAGTCTGATACTGCAGCACTGTGATGGACTGGAAACCTGTCCAGGGCGTACCCCGCCTCTGGCACAGGAACTGACAGGTGGTCTCCAGCAGTCTGGTCTACGCTCCTGGATAGGTGGGCAGCGTTCACACTGTTCGTCCTGTAACTGATCATCTGCTCCAAATGTAAGAAAAACAACCAGAAGTGATGTTAGAGCTCTGCTGCTCAGCTCAAGCAAAAAGACYGGGGGAAAGTAGGGTACAAGAAGTAGGCTATGCCCTGCCACAGATTTACACACACACAGATCTGTCCCTCTTATCAACTCCCTCTCTCTGCTTCTAGAACTGGGTCACACTTATAGGTGCAAAGTTTGTCCTTGAGACCTGGTGCTCTGGCACGAGTTCAAGGTCACTCCTGATGACGTTTCGACAGGAAGTCGGAACAGAACGGAGCGTGTCAAATGTAAAACCCCCACCGAGCTGCAGGCAGAGCAACAAAAACCTACCCGCAGAGTCCGACATCGAACAACAAACGCCATCAATCAGACCGCCTGGGGCCACCAGTGGCGGCATAAAGACGCAGCCTACAAATCACTTCTGTGAACTCCTCCATTAACACCACTTCTTTATAAGACCGGGCTGGGTTAACACGACTCAGCKCCCTTTCAGGGAGGTGATTTACAGGCTGAGGCGGTGCAGGAAGATGACGACTTTGTGGCTTCCAGCTTGTTCCGCAGAAAAGGTCTTTCATTCCAGAGTTAGACTAAAATCATTCTGTTTAGTTTGCTGTAATYTCAGGCAGATATTTCTGGTGGTCTCTACTTTACTTAGTCAAATCAAATTTATGATTCCCCAAAAAACAATTTCTCTACGAGCACTGTAAATGTGAAATTTCCAGTGAAAATTGAAGAGTGGTTCCTCGGAGGCCACCATTCCAGTTCCTCTAGCTGCAGAGCAGGTGATCCATCACAAGAGGAGCTGCCGTCTCTCTGTGGTCCATCAGCCGACTTCCTCCCATATTTTCATAACAACGGCTCCAGTCTGGGACCAGAATGGGGCCGAAAGCTAGGCCATCCGTCAGCGTCCACCCTGTCTCGGCATGGGACGTCACTCCCATCGGATGCTGCAGCTAAAACCAGCCAGCCCTTTGGACCTCTTACCTCCAGTAATAATCCACCATGGCACAAAGCAATCCATGAACGCCTCAGATAAAATGAGCCCGGGCCACGGGGCGGTTCATCAGTTTCAGACCCAAATAATTAAGAAAGAAAGGAGAGACTGTGCAGACTGAAAACAGCACTCATCGTAAGTCCAGTCATAAATCCCCACACTGGTGGAGTGAGTTGGCAGCCACTCGACTAAACTCTGATTTACTGTATAATGTGTCAAAGAGATTAGGGTCGGGCCTGCAGCTCTGGACTTACAGCAGGACCCGATCCTTGATTAAGATCTGCTGCACACGCTCACACAGCAGGGATCTGTTAGCATCCACACAGGATACACTCTGACGTGAGCTGAACCTCAGATACTTAAATTAAAAAACCTGAAAAATGTACATTTACTGGGGGGAATTGATAACCAGCAATGGACTGCTGAGAGCTAACAGGCAGAACAAAAGCTAAAGTGAGCAGGACAGAAGCTAATAGCTAAAACAAGCAGAGCAGTAACTAAAAGCAAAAATAAAGGCAGTGGAAGATGGCCTAAACCAGTTGAAAAGTAGCTAAAACATGAAAAGCAGTAGAAAAAATAAATTAGCAGAACAGTAGCTCTAAGTTAAAACTAACAAAGCAGTAGCAAGAAGTGTAAAATCAGCCAAAAAGTCATCAAAAGCTAAATTTAACACAGCAAAAATCTACATTTTGCAGAGCAGTAGCAAAAAGCTGAAATAAGCAAAWTAAACAGTAGCTGAAAGATAAAATGAGCATAAGTAGCACAAAGCCTTAACAAGCCATAAAGGGYATAAAAAGCCAAAGTGAAAGAACTGTAGAAATAGCCTAAAGCTGTAGGTTAAAAAAAAAGGTAAAACACGCAAAGCAAAATTCAAAAATGAGCAGAACAGTAGCTATAAGTGAAAACTAAGAAAAGAGTAGCAAAAAAGTGTAAAATCGGCCAATAAGTAACAATAGCTAAAAATAAGCAAAYCAGCAGCCAAAACTAAATTACCAGAGGATTAGCAAAAAGCTAAAATAAGCAAAAACTGTACCCAAAAGGTAAAGTGGGCAGAAAAATTGCTAAAATTAGAAAAAGCCTTAATAAGCCAAAAAGCAGATGAAAAGCTAAAATGAGCAAAACAATGAAAATAAATAAATCAGCAGAACAGCACACAACTAAAACCAGCAAAAATGTAGGGTCAAAAGGTAAATTACTAAAACAAACTTTTAAAAATCATGTAAAGGTGAGAATAGGGTTCTACCTGTGAACGACAACTTGTCTTCAGCCTCTGGAGGCTTTAGAAAAGCATGGTGCATCGGAGACATTCGCGCCGGTGAAAACTTTCATTTTTCSTTTTCCTTTCTGTTCTTTCAGCCTGAGGAGATACAAAAAAACAAGAACATTAATCAGCAGAACCAAAYCAAAGAGACAAACTTTGCTGCAGAAAGCTGGAAAACCTGAAATGTGACAACAGTGTTTATAGAAGTTAGCAAGAAAGAGGAAAAACTGAGTCACACTAGCAAAAACATAAAAAAGTTCACAAGGAGGAAGGTTGCAGGACTGAGGGGGAAATTCCATCCCACCAGGAGTCTGGACCGGTCCCAGGACCAGCACCCTGTTCTGAAAACCGCTGTCCGCTGGGTAAAGTCTACATGTTCGGATTTTCAGGTTTGTGAACTTAAATTAAAAGTTCCTAAACCCCAAGTTCTGCAGCCCCAATACTGGCGATTAACTTATTAAGATTTGTGCATAACATAAGAAAATGTTRATCTCCATGTAAATAAAAACTCATTTGTATTTTTGTGTTTCTYCATTAGAGATGAACTGTAATCAGAGCTGAGAGGGGTGAGGGGGATGGTAACATGTTTAATGTGCATTCTGTTTACCAGCAGGATCAGGGATGTTTGCTAAACCAACTGCCAACGGCGTTGCTGTAACTTAACACCATCAGCTCCTCCATCTGTGGCCACCGCTCCACACACTGTATGTCACAAGACAGATGGAGGGCCGAGGAGACCCCAAAATGTTTTCCAGCAGCTTTCCCCTGCAGGACCACATCACAGAACAAACTCTAAGCTCTGCGAAGTAAAACTGTTTGTGTTGAAGGCTGACAATCACTTCACCAAGCACAGAGACAGGTGTGCTTTTTCTCCTAAGTGGCCACACCCCTCACCTGCTGCTCCACTCCAAGTAGGATAATCCTTATGGAAATGAGGGACAGAAAGAGGGTTTTGTTCAGAATTTATTATTATAGTGTGAATGTTGAGTCAGAGCTTTAAGCTACGGTTCTGCTCGTTTTATTTTGAAGCAACATTTCTGCTKATTTTATTTTGAAGCAACAGTTAAGCTCGTTTCAGCTTTAAGTTGTTTAAGTTCTGCTTGTTTTAGCTTCAAGCTACCATTCTGTTTGTTTTAGCTTTAAGCTACAGGGCTGCTTGTTGTAGCTTTGAGCTACTGTTCTGTTCATTTTACCTTGAAGCTGTAGTTTTGCTCATTCAAACTTTAAACAGTTCTGCTCACTTAAACTTTTAGCAACACTTTTGCRGTTTTTGGCTTCCTCTCTGCTTGGTTAATATTAATAATTCAGTTAYCAAATTTTAACAAACTCATTCAGCACATTTGCACAGAAAATGCAAACTTCCAAGTATTTTGTTACCATTATTCAACAAACGGTCATCTCTGAAGATCATCCTAACTGTAGTGCGTTGCCTGACCTAAAAATCAAACACTAGTAGAGTACAAGAAAAACTAACTACCCTGTTTCCACCTGCCGGAGCTTTGGATTTGGAAGAAAGAGCAGATATAAGTAGYTTTGTACAACTTAACCCGTCTCAGAAAACTATCCTGAGGTGCCCTCAAACTTCTTACTCCTGTTGTAAACAGAGGCTTWCTTTATCGAATAAAAAGACTTATAAACTATAATTTGTCATAAAACATAAGATTTTCTTTCCATATAGAATATTTTTAAATTACACCTTAAAGCCACTTCTCCGMCTTTACAGATGTCACAAAAATAATACATTTTCTTCAAAGTGGCAGGAACATRTTCATCAATTAAGCCCTAAATTGACGGCTTGTAGGAAATCTGGCCGTGAAGACGACAGAACTGACTAAAATCTGACTCTGACATAGAAAGAGGGCAGACAAGAGGAATTAGGATGCAGATTAGAGTTTAAGCTGGAGGCAAAAGGTCCAATGATGTTTTAGCTAARGCCCATCCATCCATCCATCCATTTTCTTCCGCCTATCTGGGGTCYGGTCGCGGGGGCAGCAGCTTCAGAAGGGAGGCCCAGACCTCTCTCTCCCCAGCCACTTCTTCCAGCTCCTCCGGGGGAACCCCAAGGCGTTCCCAGGCCAGCCGAGAGACATAGTCCCTCCAGCATGTCCTGGGTCTTCCTCGGGGCCTCCTCCCYGTGGGACGTGCCCGGAACACCTCACCAGGGAGGCGTCCAGGAGGCATCCTTACCAGATGCCCGAGCCACCTCAACTGGCTCCTCTCGACGTGGAGGAGCAGCGGCTCTACTCTGAGTCCCTCCCGGATGACCGAGCTTCTCACCCTATCTCTAAGGGAGAGTCCAGCCACCCTGCGGAGGAAACCCATTTCGGCCGCTTGTATCCGGGACCTCGTTCTTTCGGTCATGACCCAAAGCTCATGACCATAGATGAGYGTAGGAAKGTAGATCGACCGGTAAATCGAGAGCTTCGCTTTCTGACTCAGCTCTCTCTTTACCACGACGCCCTTTCCCCAAAATTTTATYTAAAAAACAGTCCAAAATAAAAGGCAATTTATGCTGCCAAAATGTAAAGACATAAGTTAAAATCAGATTTATATTATTGTACTGTTTAATAATAAACAGTATGTGCATTTTATAATAAGTTTAAAGTGATTCTGTGTCATGAAGTTGAACATTTTGGAAAAGAAAGTGAAAAACTGGATGAGGATCAATGCTTCCCTGTACTTTCCAGGGTAACAGCCTCAGACAGGAAAGTATGTAAAAAAAAAAACATGTAAACACTTGACAAGGCCAGAGGACTATTAAGGAACAGGGTGGTGTCCCGCTACCTTCCCTGTCCAAACACTGCCATCCCACAGCACTTAGGTTTATTATTCTACCATTTAATCATGTGTCAAACCCAACAAGAAGTGTGGCACCATCACACCCTGAACACACAGATTACAGAAGCAGTGTTAAGCGTAAAAACACACGACTGTCTTGAGGTCAAGAGAGGAGAAGGCAACAGAGAAATACTTTGAGGGAAAATAAGAACAATTCTGGTTTCACACTAGTTTGTTTAAAAAATGAGGAAATGGAGCGCTGGCTTTGTTTGGACAGCAAAAAGACAGCCCACATGGAAAGCATTACATTTTACATTCCATCTTAAATGGCTCGAAATCTGCGTGTTTTCTGCAGTCATCCTCATTTAGGATCCTTGGAGGCGAACCTCAAACATCTCAGAACTCTGTGAGAAAACTGTCCCTCTGTTCTTTGTAATGAGAGACTCTGAGCTGTGATTAAAATGAGGTCACATGCATTCTGAAGTGTATTTATGCAAATTTATTTCAAGAAAAAAGTTGGTCAAAATACTATCCTTGTGGTATTAAAGCTGTCGCCTTACTTGTCAGAGTTTTAAAGTAAAATTATTTTATGGTGTAAATTAAGTGTTAAGACTGATGATGAGGATGAGTTATTATAGCCCTGTTTGTGTTTGATGAGGTCARGTAGCTGTGGCAGCCATCTTGAATTTAGGCGACTCTAAGAGTTGTTGATGAAAGTCGTTAACATATTTGAATGAGCACCAACAGGAAGTGATGACAAAAGGAAAACAGAGCATCACTACAACGGCTAACAACACGTAGTGAAGAATCTGATGTTATTTTAGTTTATTTTACGTAACTATCAGAGATGCTGGCTGTTTCCACATTCAGGGGCTGCGTCCTTTAAACGCCGAATTTGAAGGCGTTGACAAAGGACCCGGCTCACGTAGATCAGGTCCTTCGAAGGATGCAGCCAGAGTTTGATGAGCAAAGACCAAGATGTTTCCCTTTGTCGTCACTTCCTGTTTCATATTGGTCTTGCATAATTAAAAAAATGTCAGTTATGTGACAATATAAGTTGAATCATGTGAATTACGCCAAATGTCTTAAAAATTAAAGATGTTTTCTTCCACTTTTTGTACTTTTGATTCTTAAATGGTCAAGCACAGGAACTAAATCGTTTTCATGTATTTATTGGACATAATGAAACATAGTCAAGACATTCAACAAAAGCCACCAACGTACGGACTGAACATTGTTTAAACAATAAACATCCGTCGTTTCATCAGTGTACACAGACAAGACCAACGGCTCCCTTCGCTCATTACTTCAGATCCGCCCACTGAAGCCCTTATGCAACGCTGACGCATCCGCTGCGCATCCCACCACCGACGCAGCTTCTGATTCACACCTCCTCACCTTCAGTCATTCAGCCGCCCACCTAACGGTCAGTCGCTTCATTCAGAAAACTTTCACTTAACTGTTCATCACCATTTTCACTGGACTTACCGCTTGTGCCTTTAACATTTCAGGTTTTTAAATAGCTTTAAGTTTGTTAYATAAAGTAGAGTTGTGCGTCGTCATGTGTTGACACCGACAAGGAGGAGAAATGCTTTTCTATAAAAATATCCAAACAAGCAACCGCAGGGATGATTTGTCCCACTTAGYTACCCCAAGTCCAGTTGGATGCCCCGTTTGCCCCCCGCTGTGAGGAAACCAAAAGAGAGGAGAGACGGTGGAGGCAACCAAAACCAAACTTCTGAAGATGAATATCCCAGTTCTGAACTCCAGAAACAACAATGAACACGGGGAAACTCCATGGTGGTTTAAGGATTTATGGTTTCAAACTGAAATAAACTAGCTCAGGATTACGGCTTCAGAGTGGAAGAGTCCAGGTGCTGAAATGACCTCTCACCAGTTGAAACAAAAAAATTCCAGAACTGTGTTATCTGACATTAGTGTATATAATTCAATATACATGTATCGCAATAGAAAGCAGAGTTATATATAAATTTTAGCCATATCATCCAGCCCTACCCAACATAAGGAATGAGCTTTCTGTACATGAAAACATCTGCACCTCGATAATGAAACAAGAAGCTGTAGGAGGGGTAATATGAGTAATAGTGACAGAAACAAGAGAGAAACTAAATGTAATGTAAAAAAAAAGAAGGTTGAAGTCAGAGACGCTGCAAGCCTGCTTAGTACATCAGTGCATATGGGTCTCCCTGTAGCAGCTGTAAACATGATCACACCGACTAACACCGTAATCACAGCCGCTTGAGGGAAAAGCCTCGTTTTAACACTCCCCCCTCTCCTTTTTTTTAGCACACAATCAT